AAACATTCAGTAGCCTTGTCGAATACGTTCAATTCTAAGTGATGGAACTTTCGCACAGAAATGCCACACCAACGGACAAAATATTGTATCAGATAAAATAAATGTGTGAGATAGTTTAATGTACCTTATTTTGCAAGATCAATGTAAAACTGAACTTTCTTTTTCATGTATATTTTACATTTTCGAAATCATCACCAGTGTATGATACGTTAGTATCGTCAGCATAGTTATATGGAGTTCTATATTCAATGTTCTATAGAATAAAACTGTAGTTCATATGTAGAAATAATTAATAATAACGGTCCAAGGATTGAACTTGATACATCTTTCTTAGTTATCAGCCCAACATCTGACTTCCTGAAGTTTGTCTTTTAAACTCGGAGATACGGTATATATAAAATATGGAGATGTGGTATGATTGCCAATGAGACGACTAACAACAGAGTCGAGATGAAACGGATTTAAGCAACTATAGGTCACTGTACGGTTACGAGGTTAACTTCAAAGTGGTATACCCTTCTTCGCGATTTCACGTCTGAGGGACACATTTTTGTTCAGTGTCTCAACGTTTTATCGAGACGATAAACGGAGTGCGATCTCAGGATTTATGATTCCCTAACAATGACTCACTATGTGAATTGAGTCATCGTATTTGACCCTGTGTGTTCCAAATAAAGGCAACAGTAGTATACCGCTGTTCGAAAACTCATAAATCGATAGAGATAAAAACAAATCCGGGTTATAAACTAAAACTGAGGGAAACGCATCAAATATAAGAGGAGAACAACGACACAACAAAAACACAACATTAAAATGTAAAACACACAGAAACGAACTATAATATAACAATGTTTTTAGCTGCGAATGGTCTTTCAAATATTAGTATAAATATTGAAGAACACCATTGAACCATTTGTAATGTCGTTCTGAACGTTGGATGTAATGATACTAGCTTCAAGGACATTGATATAAAGTTTGCTTACGTAAAATATACAACAGGGGTGAATAGAACTATATGCCATTTGCGCAAGACAGACATATAAATCATGTTGCTAGGTAAACTATTTTTTTTAATCCTATGCCGAAACAAAATTAAAAAAAAAAAACTGAGTATATAAGGTCAAAAAAAATGGCGGGTTACGCCTGGTTTTATAGCTAGCTAAACCTCCTCCTTATATGACAGTTGTTTCTAGAAATGCTTTCGATACAAACCCTAAACAACGGGTTATCGACATTGTGTCTGAAAATGACAGCAGGATTGAGACTCGGTTAACCCTTCACTGATGATATGACTAGAGCTACGAGGCGGCTCTTGTGATCTTTGAAATACTACTTACTCTTTCTCGAACATTCAGTACGGAAATAACGGCTTCTGATTTTCAAGCGAATTGGTTTAACGTTACATTGAAAACTGATTTCTTACAGTTTCAAAAAACGTAACGACAAAATGGAATAACTACTATAGCAATAGCAACATCGATTTCCATTGAATAAGGTTCAGAAACTTTTGGTTATAGACGAAATTAACATAAGCTTATATTAATGTATAAAATATCAATGGGATAATACCTGAAAACTTATATGAGTTAGTCTAGTCATATTTTCCCAGACAAACCCCTTATGATTTGAGAAAAAGAATATAATGCTTTTCACCTCCACTTGCTAGAACTAGCATCAATTATAGTAGTTTCATCCCCTCCCCTATAAGTATAAAATAATCCCCAAATTTGTTTTTTTAACGTGAACTAATTAACCAAAAATAACAGTGGTATTGATGTGGAAGAAAACAGACTTGTTAAATAGTGTTACATAGTGTAACATAGATATAAAACAACCATTGGAAGAATTCCTGGTTTTCTCCTGATATTGGAGGGATTTACAGAAGGTAACATATTACAACCGGAAACTTCATGTGACATATACTATCGTCATCGGATTCGACCTGGAACTTGTTAATTATTGGTATTATTAATTATGTGGAAAACAAGAGGGCCTGGAATATTGTTATTTTTTAAACACCACCATTGTCCTATATTAGTTATATCTGAAGTTGAATTCTTTGATTCGTCGTTCTTACGTCATGCCGGCTAACACATTGGACCTCGCTATTTTAGTAGTAAAGATTTGTTTGTCGTGTTATGTGGAGATTTTAATAGCTGTGCTTGTTGCTCAAAACTTTTCATATCAAAATGAATAGAATATGTTAAAATCATATCATCGGTGCAAATCGCTGAGGGCAACACTTATCTTAGCCATTAAATATAAAATGGAATTTGACGTGAAAAAATAACAACAGTATCAACGCTTTGGTTTGAACATACTGGCACATCAAGACAAACAGAGGGCGAGAATACTGTGAACGTCATCAGTATCACCAGCATGATGTTGATATGACATAATAATGTAATTTATGTGAACAGGTCGCAACGATCCACCATTCTCAGTTTTTCTCTAACTTCTCATCGGGCATGAAGATCATTTAGAACCTAAAGACATATTTGTATATTTACAGGTGACTTTGGTAACTTTGGGTCGATTGTGCACTTGTCTGACTGATTCAGACGGAAATTTTATTGAACTCAGGGTTAGGCCTTAACTTAGGATTTAACTTCGCGAAATAAAATCAATTTACTTTCAAAGGTTAAATACACAAATTACGACACGCAATACAACGGTTGTCCGATCAGCATTTGTTTGTCGAGAAATATACAAGAGAGGCGAAGGATACCAAAGGGATGTTCAAACTCATAAGTCGAAAATAAACTGACAACGCCATGACTAAAAAAGAAAAAGGCAAACAGACAAACAACAGTACACTAACCACAACAAAGAAAACCAAAGACTGAGCAACACGAACCCCTACAAAAACTGGGGGTGATCTCAGGTGCACGGGGTTCTCAACGTACCCAGCGATGTATACAAAGATCGACCATCTGCTAAAGAGTGGAACAAAAGAGTATGACACAGATGAAGCAGAACATGCAAAACGAAAGTGCGTTTTTGCGTTTCTCATGTTGTCAGCAGATATACTTTCTGATTTGGGCGTTAGAGAATTGAGTTTATTAAGAAGTGCAGTCATTGACAATGCTTTTGTATTTGGACAAGACGTACCTCTAGTGTTCGGTTTGTGAGGATTTGCGGTAAAGGTCTATATGTCACACCAGGTAGATTATTTTTTACTCATGGGAACGCTTTGAACTTTGTGTATTCTCGGTCTTAACAGGCATGTCAAGAATATTGCTTTCTTAGGCATATCCCTGTTTCCTGTACAAAATGAATGAAGCAGATTCTGAATTACAGGTGTATCGAAAAACTACTTCAATTTGTCTCTTAGTTCGGTACAGTATTAGACTATAGATTGTTTTCCTTGTCGATCCTTCGTTGTAAGAATCTTTCTCTTGCCGAAATTATCAGCCACTATCATCCACGTGCATTATCTTATTGCTTACTCTACTAGACATGTCCTTCATTAAAAGAGAGGCGAAAGATACCAGAGGGACATTCGAACTCATAAGTCTAAAAAATAAACTGACAACGCCATGGCTAAAAAAAAAAAGACCAACAGACAAACAATAGTACACAAAACACAACATAGAAAACTAAAGACTGAGCAACACGAACCCCACCAAAAAACTGGGGGTGATCTCCGGAAGGGTAAGCAGATTCTGCTCCACATATGGCACCCGTTGTGTTGCTCATGTAAGTACAAACCCATTAATAAGTCTAATTCGGTAGGTCACATTCGGGAAAAGCGGGGACGGGATTGTAGATACGACATTAGGAACATATCCGCTATCATCAGTGAAACGGATATTCCATAACGGCCAACCAACTCGTGATGGCGTCCGTAAAACTTACGAAGGGATGATTTAAACTTCACCACTTGGAACTCTTGAAAAGTTTCATTAGTCTGCTCTTTAAATCTTTTTTGAAAGAAATCTTTGCTTATGAAGTCGACTGATTTGGTCCTTCATCCCCTTCTATCTTCTGTACTAGTGCCATTGATTTTCAGTAGTAGTAGTAGTACGTAGGAGTAGAAGAAGTTGTAGTAGTAGTAATAGTTGTTGTTGTTGTTGTTGTTGTTGTTGTAGTTGAATCTGTAGTTAAACAGCAATTACTACTACTAATTCAACTACTACTATAACAATAACTACTACTTAAAATCTAAGAAATGAGAAATTCAGGAAAAAATATCAAGGAAATCGATTGATATGCATCAAAGAATAATTCGTTTAACTCAAGTTACTAGGAAAAAACAAACCAGCCTTGTTCCGTTGGATGATTTTTGGGGATCACTTAAAAAAAATCGAATATAGTCGAGAAGATCGAAAATAGTCGAGACGACTTGATTTTAAAAATAAGTTACATATTCTTTTTGCTACACGGATTCAATCAAATCATTAATTTAACAATCATGTTCTGTTTGGTAGACAACTTTAAATCATACGCTCTCGTTCTCATAAATATCGCATACTTCATGAAGCAGTCGAAGAAAAAATATGAAATATGAGTTTTACCTAAACAACTTATGCGTAATAGCTAACCAACACTAACACTTTTGAGTTTACGTGTAGTGCAATCAATTAGCCTTCGTAGCCTTTTTACTCTTTAACCGTTTTACAATGTATATGAAACCGTGTTCAGCTCCATATATGCAATCCATCAACCAATTAGAACAATTTATAAATCTTATAAGTCAAATAAGGTTTATTCCCTGAATTCGACTAGCATTTTTTTTCACTTACTTTCTCCCACCTTACCTCTTATTTCTTCCTTTGAATAATTATATACTGGCATGCTTTTAGTGTAGTTCTTTTTTGAAATACGTCAGTGTGCTAGGCAATGCCGTGCGGACAAACATATGGAGGGACAGACGCATGGATGAACAGATGGACAGACGGACTGAGGAACAAACGTACGCTGTATGTGATTCTTATCGCACACACGTTTTTAAGATAGCCTTGATAACATCACATTGTTTTAAATAATAATACTGTATGTGCCATTCCATGAAGTCCTTATATTTAAAATTCTACGTTTTATCAATAAACAACAAGAAAATGTTTTCCAATCAGTCCTTAATGTCTGCCTATTATCACTATCTTTCAAGAATCAAGTCTCAGAAGAAACATCCAATGCATACTTCCCTATGCCTAAAACATTTAGTGTAGTAAGACCATCCAGGTGTTAAAGACTGAGGGATTGCAGTAACAAGACCAGGGTCAAACGACAACAGTTCACATCTGCAAAGAAATTGTATTAAGATGTACCTCTTATAGTTCAGTTGTGTTCATTTAAAATGCTTTTATAATAGATGAAACATAGAAAACACGTACGAAAACAATAATAAAAAAATAGTATAAATAGAGTTTTAGGTACATTGTAAGTCAATGAAAATTAAAAAAAAATATTAGGTTTACCTTGAGATGTCTTTAAATTTTGTTGTTTCTATTGTAACGTTGCTTTTTTTTACTGGCGTATAACCCACAGCTACGTTTATTAACAATTTACCCGATGTTGCATCGTTAATGATACCAATGTTCCTTTTTGTTTTTTTTTTTTTGGGGGGGGGGGGGGGGGGGGGGTCAAGCATACGTCTAGCAATCATTTTTTTTTCTCATTTCTCTAGATCTTGTCGGGCCATTTGAAAGTTTATGAGTATATGTAATGCTCATTAATGTACATCGTAAACAGACCACTTGTCATAAGGTCTTAAGTAGCATTGTCTTTTATATATAAGGTGTAAATATGCTTTTATAGATGTTTATGGAAAAAACTTTTCTTTTGAGACTTGTATCAAACATTATTGTAAACGTTTACTTGCACCTGTTTGAAGGCCAAATTTCATGTTTTTATTTATGTATGAGTAATAACATTATAGTGGATACACGTCTTGGAATATTCTGATCTCAACCAAATGTTTAACATAATCAAAAACCTTCTGTGCTGCAGAACCAGTCGGTGTCGTAGCGAGGAAATAAAGATTAAGGTGTCGATAATTTCGTTCAACGGGCTTCGTGTTTCAGAGGAGAAGATGTTTTGTAAAAGTTAACGACGAAGGACGTCGACGCACGACAGACGACGACGACGGACAACGGACGACGGACGCCAAGTTATGAGAAAAGCTCACTTGGCATTTCGGTCGGGTGAGCTAATAAGGGTTTCATTATCTTTTTGCTACACGGATTCAATCAAATCATTAGTTTTAACAATCATGTCCTGATTGGTAGTCAACTTTAAATCATACGCTCTCGTTCTCATAAATATCGCATACTTCATGAAGCAGTCGAAGAAAAAATATGAAATATGAGTTCCACCTAAATAACTTATGCGAAATAGCTAACCAACACTAATACGTTTGAGTTTTACGTGTAGTGCAATCAATTAGCCTTCGTAGCCTTTTTACTCTTTAACCGTTTTACAATGTATATGAAACCGTGTTCAGCTCCATATATGCAATTCATCAACCAATTAGAACAATTCATGCATGCGATGTTGTTTGGAGGAACCTTGGTCTTAAGTAGATAGTTGTCGCATTGTCATTCATATATAAAGTGTAAATATTTAAAGGTTTAAATATGCTTTTATAGATTTTCATTGGAAAAACTTTTCTTTTCAGACTTGTATCAAAATTATTGTAAACTTTTACTCGCACCTGTTTGAAGGCCCAGTTTCATTTTTTTTAAATTATGTATGAGTAATATTATAGTTGATACACGCCTGGGAATATTCTGATTTCAACCAAATGTTTAACATAATCAAAAACATTATTTGCTGAAGAAGATGTTTGCGTGGTAACGAGGAAATAAAGATTAAGGTGTCGTTAATTTCGTTCAACGGGCTTCATTTAAAATTGATAAATTGTTTCAATAAGGCGACTTCAGCTATTTTGTAATACATATAATATATATATATATATATATATATGATATAGTATTTTAGGAATTTCATACACTCACTTCAATGACAAACGAATCGAATTATATTTCACGTTTAGAATTGTCCTATTTTTATACTACCTGTACATTTCAATGCTGTAATTAATTCCTACGCAATCTTTCATCTTCGCACAAATAGCGCTACATTGGATTTTCCCCATAAAGCCTACATCGAGATTCTTCAAATTTGCTTTAGTGTCATTTTTATGGCAGTTACTAAAAAATCCAGTTGAATCATCTGCAACTATTTAATTCAAGAACATATTAAGGCATTTCATTTCTATTTGAAATAAGTGTAACCGTAACTTCTTATGTATTTAGGATGGAATTTAAAAAAAAATAATAAGTAATGATCCTTTTTTTAAATTTTGTCTAAAATTTTTGTTGAAAGAAAATAAACGAAGTACGATCTTTAGTAGAAAAACACATATTCGTATATATAATCCAACCAATGACTTCATTTCTTTATCTATAATATTATTTTTCAATGAAGTCTTCTCAGTACCACAGATTTGATGTAATCCGATTATCACATGACATCTTTGGTCTCAGATGTATTAGTACTAAAACAAACCAACGATACGATATGTAGAGAATATTATATGGCTTTTTTCAATATCACTCAGTTTACAATAAACCAATGCCCCTCTATATATATATTATAACAAACTAAATACAATTCGATATACTTGACACGGTATAGTGTTGAATAAAACCTTGGAAAAAATCCAAATCGACAAACGCAAGTAGCTATATAATAAAAAAAGATAGAGTAGAGTTATAACCTACCTCTAGATATGATTGGTGGGAAATAATACCCCACAGGAACAAGACGAGATTGTTTTAAATATATGTATATATAATGAATACACTAACGTATTCAGTATTTATATATATATGTGTCGCCTTAAAATTGTACCTGTGTAATAAACTTGCTTTTTTCTTGACCTTGGTTCGATTTGCGTTAATTGTGCATAATTTGTGTAATGTAGAATTGTCTTTTGGATTGAGCTTTGGGAGATGACTGTTGTGTATTGATATGTCTTTCTTATACAATTTATTTTCCTCTTTTTAATGTGCTTTTGGTGATTTAAACGAAGTGTTGGTTTATCTTTTCAAATATCTGTATATTGATAACACCGTGACATATCTTTTTTTGGTGAGGAGGATATGAAACTAATATTTTGTCCAGATTTTCTTACAACTATAAGTTGAGTGAATTGGTTTACTTACCATCGATCTCTATTTTCCACTCTCCATCATTATTTCTCGAATAGATCCCTGCAGTTTTAACTTCAAAGGGGTTCAGGTCGGTCCAACTACATTGCACATTTTCACCAATTATTCCTCCTGTACCTAATTCTATGATTCCGTTTTCCCAGCTTGCCCACAATAGTCTGTATTGGTTGCAGTCTAAAAGTCCATTGGTATTGAACTTCTCGCTTATGTTATTGGTAGTATTACCATCCGATCGTCGGATAGCAGTTATTGCATTTCCCCATCCCCCAATTAGTATCTCGTACCTTAAATTCGAATCGGCCATGATTTTTGAATTAGCCATGAACAACTTTGCTTGTAAACATATTTTTACTTCAAAGACCAATGCATCGGTTTTGTTCCTTCCATACTTTGCCAGGTCCGTAACATAATCAGTTATGACGTTAAAATCAAAGAAACCTAAAGGACTGGAGTCCAAAGTTCTGATATAATATTGAACTCTTCTACCTGAAAAATGTAGATATACTTAGTCCAAAATAAAAAAAAAAAAAAAAAGAAAACAGATATTTGTAAAGATACTTAACAAAAGTAAGTAGCATAATATTATTTGCGTATTAAGAAATATAACGTGTAAATGTCATATAAGATTACCCTGTATTGTACCTTAAACCGACAAACTGATACAAATTTGGGATATGCTACATGGGCACAAGTAACAGTTACTATGTAATTTAGTGCGAGGGCTTTCTTTCCCCCGAGCACCTACTTTCAATGTATATTCCTGTCGGTTGAATGTCCAATTTTGCACATATTCACAGCTCGAGTAATCTTATAATTTATATATTATAAATAGTTTATTTTGGCTCACTACTTGTTTCACCGGTGTATGTAAAGAGGCGTCATTAAAAAATTCCATTAGCTAAATTTTGAACTATGTAAAAACTACTCATTAGTATCATAGCTTTAAAATTTATTCAATTTGTGACAGCGATATGAAACTTAATTTCACCAAATCTTGAGTTTACAAATTCAGCAAACACGAATAAGATCTTGACGATTTATATGTCAATCAAACAGGAAAATTCCGTATTTAAAAAAGGCAGTAAAATTGAAGCTATGTTAATGGATTTATCAACATAACTTATTATGTGTATTCGAAAGATAGCCTAGTGTCATAAGCATTCAAAAGTCAACTATCAATAGAATTATTATTAGATTAGCACAGTAAAGTTAAATGTTTGTTAGTTTATCCAAATTTCAATATAGGTGTTGATTTTCATTTGATTATAATGTAATCAAGATATTGAAAGAACAATAAGCACCACCGACTATTTTGGATTAAAAGTTTGTGTCCCAAATTTAACGAGTGTATGCAATTGGTTTTCACAATTATCGTTTTCTATATCTTACAATTCAAATATTTGCTTTAAAAAAAATTATAATGACAAAATACTGCCTTGTAAAATTAAAAAAAAAAAAATATTGGACAGGTATAACTTGATCACACTTCAACACAATCTAATATAATTGTGGCCATCCATGTAGTTACAAAAAAAAAGTATGAACTATACAATTTTGTGAAGGGAAATTCAAGTATATACTTGGATCCATATGAACTTAGGTAGATAGTTGTCTCATTAGTATTCATGCCACATCTCCTTATTTCTTTATTGAGAAAAAAAATAAGTATCATATAAAATTATTGCGATTACATTTTTAAACGTTCTTGAGAAACTTGATTCCTTCACTACAAATTGAAGCACTGTGATAATGTCTGAAGGACATACGCCAACTATAATAATATTTTGATAAATTAACATACCTTTAGCTGTATTTTGAAATAAATTTTTTTTTAAATATCTATATACCTATATTGAGCTATTTCCTTTCGGAACTATAGGTAATTCTTTTGAAGAAACAACTCGGACGATACCAAGTTTCAATGCAAAGAACTTCGAGGCATAAAATATTGACCTGTGTGAGGTCATTGTAAACCCGGATCATAATGCAGACTACATTTTGTTAGGCTGATATATAAACCGATCGAGTTTCCAATTCGTGTTCGCTTTATGTGTAAACTTAAGAGATCTAGGTAATAACTGTCATATATTGAACACATATGGTATAGCGATGATACTAGAAGTAAATGAACATAGAAAATACTTAGTTAATGAACTCTCTTTTTTACACACCTGTGAAATAAAAAAAAATGTCCCTTTTTGGCCATTGTTCGTGATGTTTTTGAGTAATATTAGTCATCGTCAAAACTTGAATATAACTTAAACTTGTTTGAAATATATAACATTTAACGGAAAAAAGCAAATCAAAATGAATTGCAGAATATCAGCTGCAACTTAAAAAACAATTATTGAAATGATTGAATAACCGACAGAAAAAACAAATGCATGATCGTCAATTTTGAACAATAACAGTTTATTCCCTTTGTATACAAGAATTTCTTTATATTGTTTTAGCTACAGATACAATTTTTATGTATCATCCAATTTTATTAAAATCTAGATTACTGCTCTATATCAAATCAATATTTTTATGACATTTGAATGATAGATTAATTGATAACCTAATATATGCTATGCCAATTTTCCTTCGTATTCCAGGAATTAATATTCGTTTTTGAAATGCCCATGCTCTGTTTTTTTTATCATCATAGGAACAGGCATATACCCTATGAATGGACGTTTAGGGTTTGCTGTGAAATAAGGGTTTTAATGTTAAGAAATTTATTGTCGATGAGTTGAACTCAGGGATATCCATAGCATGTATAGATATGCAATTTCAAAATATTTTAACGGACAATTTTAGAAAGGTTTGTTATAAATCATGTCTGTATCGAAGTACTGACTACTTGGCTGATGATACCCTCGGGGACTGATAGTCCACCAGCATAAACGTTTTGTTAAAGAAGTGATAAAATTGACGACAACATCGGTATTCACTTGCTTTATTGACAACAATCGAATGAAGATGAGGAGCGTAGGTCAATTATTGCCAATTTCTACCACAAAAATCTGTTATATCACCATACACTTCGCTCAAAGTTACAGTGTTTACGAAAAATTATGAATTAAAAATCATAGTTTGTAGAATCAAACCCATTGGCATATCAGATGATAATTATCAGCAATATCAAATACAAATGACTCCTATTTACAAAATTGTTAACATGTAACTAATAAACTGTGAATGTTTCATATAACACTGTCTGGATGTAATGAATATAAAGGTCATCAAAATAGCTATGGATATAGATTAATCAATTTTTGTAAAAAACGGCAGAGTTGGTTTAATGTTGGTCTTTTTAAAAACACAAACAAAGATGCAAATCTTGGTTTGTTATACAATTTCCACGACTGAATAATTTAAACAATATTTCGAATTTTGAGGCCATAAATTATGGCCCGTTGTTTTTAGATTACATTGTCGTTTATAAAAAAAAACCGTGCATCTAAAAAAAAACTGCCTACATTTTACAAACTTACAGTATTAGTTTATATTGTGTCAAAATGTTAACGTTGTTACAATACTGCTTTTGAAAATATCCGGGGATTCTCAAAAAGGCACGACGGATTTTGCACGATTCATGAGCAAATTCTTATTTTTCGAATTTCTGTTTTCACGAAATTTGGTTTGTTTGTTTTTTTATCATAAGATGTAAACAATTCTTTGGTCCCATATTATATCCGTATTTTCACTTCTATTTTTCATAGTACATGGGTTTTCATTTCCTATAAAATGCTATCCATGAATGAATTGTCATTGTAAATTAATCACGGAAACTGCACTAACGAAGTGTACAATCCCCTAACACAACTTCCATAATAAGAAAAACAATCATGAGTACTGTTTTTTTCTTATTTATTTAATAGTACCTTTATCATGCTTACAAAACAAACAAAAAAACTGACATGGGGAGGGGGCAAAGGTGTAGGTGAAATAATATTCAATCATTTCTTCTCAGAAACAATGACTGTTGATATATAAAGCAAAGGAATTTTTGAGAGAGGAAAAAACAACACCCTTATCATTAAAAAAATGTATGTTGGAACGATCGTAATTTTAATATTTATTGATTGAGTTTTATTTGTATTTCATTTTATTATACACTTTTGAAAACTCTGATTTATATAACACTGTGTGCTTTTTGAAGTAAAGGAATTTGAGATTATAAATATTGAATTTTACCTGGAGCAGAAAAAAAAATCTATTTTTCAACAATTTATCCTGTTTGTCCTAAAAAACTATTTCATTGCTATTTCATTCCATCTGTTGGAATGACCGTTATATATGATTTAGATCCCTTGATATGCATTCAAACTTAAAGGGAACTTATTAAGGCTTAAAATATTCATTAAACATGACCAATTATTGTCTAACCTATAATTAGCTTTTATATATATTAATGCAATTTTTGTATTCTATAATTTCAAAATAGTATGAGACATGTTTTACAACTTTACATATTTCCATAATTGTTTTTTTCTTCAAAATGCTATTAAGTTCTAGATGCTGTTCTAGGAATATTGGTACAAAATCGAAGTTGTTTCATGTTTTTGTAAAAAAAAAATCATCGAATGACGTCGCTCACTAAAATTTTTGGTATGAACAATACAGTATTCAACTTTTCGCCCAGAACGGTACTCTTTATCTACATTGTTGTAAGAAATATTCATACTATTCAGAAAATCAACAGAAATTCATCAAAATGTAATTTCTACGTGGAATTGTGTTCTTTACCGTTTTCTGGTTTGAAATAAGAATAGCTTACGTATAATATGCAAAAAAAAAGTGTTGTAATTGCATTAAACTGTTTCGCGTGTTAATAGGTTGCACTTTGTAAATAAAGCTGTTTCTCAAGATACGCCTCTTTTGGGGAGATATATAATATTCATAGATATTTTGTTTTGTTTACGTACTGGTTCCCTGAAATGATCTCTATGTTTCATCTCATAGAGACATAACTTGGGAATGTTACCAGTATAAAAACACGTGGTAGCGGTGAAAATTGAAACCAGAGGAAGACCCACAGTGAAGGTAGGGA